TATGACGACTGAAAAGCGGAGTTTCCTTCTTTCGTTCTGCCGGGTAAAATCAATTACTTTAGGCGACGTTTGTAGACTAACCAACACGTACCAACGTCCGCATGTCGCGCTAGCCTTATCCTACTCTAGGCCTAGGCTAGCTAGGATGGTATAGGCCTAGCTATGAAGGGACGAAGGTCCCAATGAAAAACAACGTCGCTCCTTGATAGCTAACATTGTCTATTTAACATCACAATAATTCATTATTAGACCTATAGTTGTTTTTTGATTTGTACTCCACAAATCTCAGCCGATACCTCGCACAGCTCGAGTAACGTCTCGTATCTATTTTCGTGACGTCATGGCTCGCTGGCTCACACATGCGATGTCTCGCACTTGTGATCAAATAATACGTTGGCTCGCACTTTGGCTACACTCTTTGGCAGTCAACTCGCCCCTAAAAAACCCGCCCTTGGAAACTTGCCCCATAAAAAATAGACCATGCAGTCTTCAAAATAAAAATTTTAACCTTTGGTAATCAACTACATTTTCCACATACATAGAAATTTTTGAAACTTTATTAAAAAAAAAAACCTAAACCATAATTCAGCATTATAAACACTTTTTGACAAAAATGAAAAATTACGACTTTGTTACCCAATGAGAAGTGTTCTAATATAGACAATGGGTTGTGTCTCATATTATTTGTTATATTTTTATTATTCATTATTTTCACTTGACTCGCATAAATAATTTTGTTCGAAGAACATTTATATGCAGTTGTACTTCGCAGCACTTCACTTGCAATTTGCAATTTCTAGTAATAATCAATATTTATATAGCGCCTAATGTTAATAACCTCTAGGCGCTTAACAACATAATAATAAGCAAAAAACAAAAACAAAAAAATTAAAGCAGCGATGCAGGAGATGGTGTCATTCAAATGGTCTCACCCACCGATGTCAGAATAACGTCGCTGTCTCAATGAGGCAATTTACACGCAGGTAATCCACAAATGGCAGCATGCTGGGCTCCGGCACTTTCCACCACAGGGTAAGCCTGTGGCTCCACTACCGTGCGCTGCCGGGACAACGACGTCACCTTGAGTAAGAAAAAGGTGAGACCACACCTGAAAACCACAATAAACATCCTGCAAAAATTAAACAGTCGAAAAGAGGTGAGTTTTTGAAAACGTTTTAAATGATTCAACGGAGTCAGCGTTTTTGATATGATCTGGAAGTTTGTTCCAAAGTGTAGATGCAACAAATGTAAATAATCTTCCACCAAACGTTTTAGTGACGGTTTGTGTGTGTGGAAGGTGTTTGTCAGAAGAACGAAGGGACCGAGGTGGAGTGTAAAATTAAATGAGGTCAGCCAAGTAACCAGGTGCAAAACCATGAAGAGCCTTATACGTAGGCCTAATGAGAAGAGGGCTCAAACGGTAGGGGCGTAATCAAACAAAAGTCAGAAAAACGAAATCCATATGCATTTATTTCTACAAATTATATATGACCAGACTATGTATTTGTACCTCATGAATGTGTGCAGCTTGGATTATTTCCAGGGATTGCCATCCATGCCATAAATTAATACTTCATTAGCAACATTTCTGGGTGCTTTCAAAATTTTAGCCATTCCATATAGTTTTCTAGTTTTGGATTAAGGTTTTAACATTGGGAATTCCAGTCAGAGCATTCATAATTTATTGTGGGAAGACCAATTGTATTCCATAATGAATTACCACAGTACATTCTGTTGAAGTCTTCTTGGTTTTCAAGAATTGATCTGATATAGGCAATAACTTTGGTATCTTTTTAATTACCTCTTTAATGATATCATTGTTTCCCTAGAAATATAGTACCCAAGTATTTTATATCTGTGTATTTCATTTATAGTCTTCTGCTAATTTCCACTTTCTGAAATTATTGACCCTTTGGCCAACGATTAGCACATTGACATTGCTAAACTTTAGAAATCACAAGTAGCATTTAATTCCAAGGTCATGTGCCACCAATCAAAACAATATCATCGGCCCAGAATAGCTTTCCAAGAGTATTAAAACAGATAGATATTTCCTAATCATTTTTCGTTTAGATTATTAATTCTGTTTTTTCTGAAAGAACTATTTTGAATTTTATGAATTGTATGTATCTCTTTGTTGTTGGCATTCATGATTATTTTTCTATACTGATCTTTTGTAAAATCTTCATTTCAACCATGTGTTGTTTTGTAGTTCATTCATATAAATTGAAAATAATACTGATGAAAGTGGACATCCCTGTTTCATCCAATTATATAAAACATATCTGATTTAATATCATTAAAAATAGCATTACACTTAACATTAGTGTACATGTTTTGAATAAGTTGAAGGGGTTTTCCCTTAATGCTAGCATTTTTTCTGGCTCGTAAAAGGCCTTGCCTCCAGACAGAATAAAAGGCCTTCTTAAAGTCTAAGTAAGTAACTTACGTTTTTTACCTTCTGCTTGCCCTGTGGCTAAATATATGGTCTTAGCATTGCCGATGAACTCTAAATTCTCGGCCTTGAACCTCGGTTAAAATATTACAATCCTCTAAATATTCAGATAGTGTTTTTAGCAATGATCTTATTAAACATTTTTGCCACACTTAAATTTAAAAAAACCTTTATATTTGCAACTTTTCGGCGTACCTTTTTTTTTACTTTAAAGCCTAAAAATGTTAAGAATAACAATAATAATATATTGGAAACATTTTAACTCTGGAACCATTTAAGGTATACATTTCATTTAAGCAATTGGCTAATATATATAGTAGGCCCTATACAGTAAACAAACCTTAATATTGATATGAATAGTTAATATATCAAAATTATTATGAGACTTCTCACTTTAAATACTGGTAATCCAGAATCTAGAAAGGTATCCTGATCCTTTTCCATTGGACAGTGCATTAGTTGGCAGAAAACCAGAGATTAAGGTAGTGTGCATGATGTAAGTTATAATTCCCAGTAAGGTGGAGTTGCATCAGCTATACCCACATCCATGTTGGCTGAAGACACAGGATATTCTTTTAATCGCTGCCATTGTACGCTGTCAATTCGAAAGGAAAATGCGTTTAAATTAAAGTGAAACGATATATTTGTACAGAAAATTACATCTTATTCCCAACAAATCCACAGTGGCCCCGTTGTTTGATGTGCCTGCGTATGAGTAGAACGGCTAAGGAGAATAATCGTGCACTTTTGGAGGAAAGCATAACACTTCTTATTTTGATTTCCAGATGGCGGCCACTAGGCGGCGTTATTTTTTGGGGTATATTTTTTAACATGATCCTTTAGGTGTCATAGTATCACTGTGGGAAGTTTCATGCTTTCTTCCAAAAGTGCACGATTCTACCTAAAATTCAACCTTAGCCGCTCTAATATAGACGGAAGAACGTTCCTCTTCGAATCCTGATTAAGCCAATTTAGTACACTCGCTCGTTTACCGGTAACTATATGAATCCCACTCCTCCCTGGTTTAACATTTGGTTAGTTTAGGGGAAAAACTCAAACAGCATTGTATACAGACGGTGCGTGACATGCCATCATTACACCCATTAATAGGAATATCACGTACAGGAGCGGATTCTGTAGGGGAGGGAACGGGAGAACGTTACCCCTTTTTTGCCACTAAGTTTTAACAATTTCAATGCATATAAATGTTATGTGCTACTCACTTATGTATTCTGAAACTGTTATGCACGCGCGCTCGAGTCGTGTTTTTGAGATGTTTGTGGACTGGGAATGATACCAGTATCTTGCTATTAAATAAGATGTGACTTATGAAATTATAATGCGAACGAAAAGTGAGGGAACCAACCCCCCCCCCCCACCTTAAATATATGGCGGGTGGGGAGCAAGGGCGTCGATCCGTGGCTGAAAGTGGGGGGGGGGCGACGAGATAAAAAATAAAGCCTTGGGCCGTAGGCCCAAGCAATGGTTGGGGACCAGGGGGCGAAGCCCCGGAAGCTCTGGCGCATATAGCCTTTTAATTGATTTGCCACTAAGTTTTAACAATTTCAATGCATATAAATGTTATGTGCTACTCACTTATGTATTCTGAAACTGTTATGCCCCCCCCCTCCTCCCGTAAAAAATATTCTGGATCCGCCCCTGATGTATTATTTGGCACATAAGCTCGATAGTATTGGGAGAACTTAAGCTGCTAGTAGTGCTGTCAACTCTTTTATATAGTGAATTTCATCATCATCACATCATTATTAAATTATAGTCAAAATGAAGCACCAACAAATTTCTCGCGATCTTTATCAGCGATTTTTGGCAACCATCCTGGATCTAATTAATATGTGTGATGTACCATAAAAAAATGAAATTGTCTAATTTACTTTACCTACTTCGTGTACCGAAAACCAATCTTATCTTACACGATTTTTGCTAGCACTTCTCAAATTAAAATAAAAGGCACGCGCAAAGAAGGAATAAATAAAAATAGCACGCGCACTCGAGTCGAGTTTTTGAGATGTTTGTGGACTGGGAATGATACCAGTATCTTTCTATTAAATAAGATGTGACTTATGAAATTATAATGCGAACGAAAAGTGAGGGAACCAACCCCCCCCCCCCACCTTAAATATATGGTGGGTGGGGAGCAAGGGCGTCGATCCGTGGCTGAAAGTGGGGGGGGGGCGACGAGATAAAAAATAAAGCCTTGGGCCGTAGGCCCAAGCAATGGTTGGGGACCAGGGGGCGAAGCCCCGGAAGCTCTGGCGCATATAGCCTTTTAATTGATTTTAAGCAATGCAATTAACATTTATTTCCATACGAAATTTTTAAAATATCCAGTGGCGGATCCAGTAATTTGAAATAGAGCTGGGCAATGCAATTAACATTTATTTCCATACGAAATTTTTAAAATATCCAGTGGCGGATCCAGTAATTTGAAATAGAGCTGGGCCCAGAGAGGGACAGATGGAGAGTGTAGCTGGAATACCACCTCAGCACCACCATGGTTGGGGATGAGGTAAGCAAATTTATGATTATGGCACCTCCAGTTGGTCGGAAATGGCACTCTCAGACTGAATTTGAATATAATTTTAATTTTTCTCCACTTTTAAATTTCGAACAAAAAAATAGTGATGGTGGGCCGGCTGGGACCCTTGAATCTGCCACTGAAATACTCATCATCCGCTTATATATTTCGTGCAAACTAACATTCATAAAAAATAATGATTTATTATCTACTGATTAACTTGTAACGTATTCAAAATTCGAACTATGAAAAACAAATAAGATAAACTTAAAACAGTCATTAATTTAGTCTTTTTGCATGTACAGTACTTTTAAAGTCAATCAAAAGGTTTTTGCTTTTCTCCTCTTTTTGAATTTCACTTTTGTGTAAGTAATATTGCGATAAATTATTGTGAATGGAAATAATACCGTCTAATTTACGATCGAACAGGACTAGGGAGATAGGGAGCACACAAAACATTAGTTAGCATTTTGATTTCACAAACATAAAGGTGATTTACTTAATTTATCATTTTCAGTGGCGGCTCCAGGAAAGGAAATTAGAGGGGGGACAGGGAGGGACTTGTGGACGTTGGAAAAGTAGATCACCTCAGCCCCACCATGGTTGGGGCTGAGGAAAGAAAATTTATGATTATGGAACCTCTAGATTGCAGGAAATGGCACTCTCAGACCTAAATTCTAATTCTAATTTTCCTTTGTTTTTTTCCCCATTTTTTAAAAATAATTTTGAAAAAATATTAGGGCCGGCTCGGCCGCACTTGAATCTGCCACTGATTATTATATGGCGTCATTGCGAGACTGCGTCAACGTAACACTGGAGTTTGTAAACTTTTGGTAGGCTTATCACTTAATCGAAATAGGTAGACATCATATCCGTGAAATTAGAAAAAAAAACAGTAATCCTATGTATGTAGATAATATTAAACACTAGTATATACGTACGGGTCATAATAATTTTTAAAAATGAATAAATCGTTTATATTAGAAACTGTGCACATTTAAGTTTGTAAAAATATTGGCCTAATAACGATACATGCTTCCAATTTCAACAACATTCAGTACATTGTTTTCACAATAAATTTAGCCTCTGATAGTCGTTGCACCCATAAAATCGATCTAGTGGGTTTCTGAGATGGTTACAAAATGTTTAAACAATTGCGTTTTTACTTGGTTTTGGTCCGGAAAATACGTACCGCACTTAGAAAAGTGAACAGACAAAATTCATGAGTCATGCATAATTGCTATTCTTTCCATTCACTTGTAAAAGTGGGGTTTTAATTATAGAAGATTGGTGAAAAGTGGGGGGGGGGACAATCGATATGATGTCCCCCACTTTGAAATGTGGGGGGGGGACGCGTCCCCCTGTCCCCACCAATCGACGCCCATGGGGAGACGTATCTCCCTATCCCTCCATGAACAGTGCCCATGTCTGATATCATATTGTACTTACCCTCTATTCCTTTGGCAATTAACCATAAAGAACACAACACATGCTAGCACAAGAGCCGCCACAGAAACACACCCTAGTATTATTCCAATGTCTAAAAAAGAAACATATAAATGATATTATCATTTAATAAAAAGTAAAAGTAATAAGTAATCATGTCCTTTATCCGAACACCGTATTTACCCTGTCTCTTATACACATCTAGATGTGTATAAGAGACAGCGATTATATTATTCTTATTTTTTTCATCTGAAATTTTTAATATTATAAATGCTAAACTTTTAAATTATGCTTATTTTACTAGAATTTTTACAATTGTTAACTTCTCTGTTAACCGACCTGTGGAAATAAATTGCTTAATTGCTTTTATTTTTTTAAATATACCTTAGCATTTTAAATTTGAATTTTAAAGTAAATTTTATTTAATCATCTGAAAATGTTAATATTTTAAATCTTTTAAAGTATGCCTATTTTACTATTGAACTTTTACATTTTAATGTTTATATATTTTTTGAAAATGTATATTCTATAAGCATTTGGTTGTTTTTTTTGTTTTTTTTGTTTTTTTTGTGAAGGGCCCCACTCGACAGTGATTAAGTTCATTTTTGTGGTGTCCTGTCTCATATTGTCTGTGCTTGTTCTTTGCTGTTTCTTTTATTGTCAATTTTACGTTTTGAGACGAATAAATGAAATGAAAATGAACAAAAAAAATCTATGCGATGGGGACACATATGTACCGGTCCTATCATAATATGTTGTGAGACTGATAACAAGTGACATATATCCAATCAAGGTTTGACGTGTTTCAGGAACATAGATATATTTATTTGTACACAAATAATTCGGTCGTCCCTGCAACCTTTCTCAGTGTGAACTGAACATACATTTAATCTCTTGCATAGTAGTTTGGCATATTACAGTAATTAGCATGACAAAATGGGTGTGAACTTAAATAACTGATAGTTTATTTATAATGGTTTGTATAAGGCAGATGCTAATTAATGAGTACCGGTATGATGTCAGTCGATTTACTTACATATACAACTTGGTTGTATATTATTAATAATAATAATAATAATAATAATAACCGTTAATATTAATGACGGCTATTCAATATACAGTGTAGGCAACATAATTCAAATAATATAGTAGGGCCTAAACCAATTATGGAAAAAATAAGTACATAAAAGTGTAGATATCCGTGCTTCAGGCCTAATTATAATTTAAATTTGAATAAAAGAGTAATCACTGACAAATCCTAAATCCTTATTCAGTACATTAACATGTGATTTGAGGGGAAGAGCCGTACAGCCTCTTTCCTTAAGGGATTTGAAGTTAGAACGATGAATCTTAAATCGTTGATAGAATGGCCTAGAGCTAAATTGCTCCTTTACAGGAAAACCCTAATACTAGATTTCATCTGTGTTTTTTTTTTATTCTTATTTATTTATTTTTTTTCCCGATTTTCTAAATAATTCAGTTTTAAATAGTACACTTATGCACCAACAACAATTCGAGTTCATATTCTCCTACATATTGTTTACCACACATATTACAATACCTGACATTTTTCGTGAGGCAATTAATTAATTGCCTTATCCGAAATGTTGATTTAGACACGATTATGAATGAAAACTCATGCAACGCAATGCTGCCACACTTTGTATTTTTATTCCAGTGACCTGTGACCTCAGTCTCGTACAATAACTTTTGTACAGTGAATATGAATATCATAACATCCCCCCATCTTTCAAGTGAAG